AAGATAGCCTGTATCCAAAAAAAAAAAAAAAAAAAAAAGAAAAAAGCAACCAAAGCTCAAAAACCTAATTCAGGAATAGAACTCTTAACAGCATCCACATACAGCAGGGAAATAGATATAGAGAAGGTAGCAACTCTATTTTTGTAGAAATGTATTTCACAGTTGTCAAAGGAAGAGTAAGGTGAGCTCATGAATAACTGCTTTTGCTTGACCCTTTGACCACCAGACTAATCTTTCGCTATACATCCTGCAGCAGTCTGTAATAACTTCCCCATCTTGTTTCAGCAGATATATTTTAACAGCAAAGCACAAGGAACAAAATCTTCTATTAAACTCAACAAATCTCAATAGCCTTTGTGCTTCACCCACAAGCCACAACCTAAATTACATGAATTGGCCTTTCTCAATATGTTTGCAGTGTCCCAAAATGTCTTCCCAATTGTATGAAAACTACATCAGTTTTTCAAGGAAGAAGCTCTGACCTTGCAGCTCTGGAGGGCTATGAGCCAGTCCTCTGTGCTCTCACAAGGAAATAAGTTTATAAAAAGCATGTTACAAACTGAAAAGCTAAAGGAGACTGGGCATGGTGGGTGTGTGTTGCAGAACACTATGGTAAATTATCAGCTCTGCTACGGAACTCCTTAATGACCACATGCACGTTATACAGTCTTTTTGCACCACCACTCCTTTCTCTGGTGATGGTGGCAGCACAACCCTCATCTCACAATGAAAGGCTGGAACAAAACAAGCGAACAAAACAATCAAACAAAGCAATCTTAAGGGTTGTGAGGTACTGAAATACAAAAACAATAGAGACAAAATTTATCTCAAACTGATTTTTAGGTTCTGCGTTTCTTCAGACTTCTGTAGGATTCTTCATTCTGAGATTCCCAACCTTTTTTTATGGATGTTGCTTGCAACAGTGCTACATACAGCATCCTGATTTTTGCTGCATTGAAAGTCCCCTTCGAAAGGCCTCAAATCACAGTTTAGTAAAGCCAGCTATAAACCTGAGTAAAGCATCTCGCCTCCAGGCGTGATCACCTGTTCTTCACGGGCAATTAAGGACTGTGTCTGGGTTCAGCTGCTGAGAATCCAACTGGGACTGTGCTCTGGGATTTTCTCTGGCAACCTCAGCTCTGCCTTCCCCAGCACAGCTGGGGTAGGGGTAACTGCAGCTCCTGGCCACATGCTACACGGAGATGACTTGTATGCCACACGTGACACGTACCACACCAGGGCTTTACCATGCTTGACTAAATCCTTTAGGCTACTTCTAACACATAACAGTTCTCAACACTGCACACTGGCAAAATAGCTTTTGCAGACTGCTGTTATTATCTCTGCTCTGTATCAGTGGAGTTGTGGGATATATTTTGATTTAAACAAGTACCTTTGTGATATCAAACTCCAGTTTCTGCCAGCTTATTTGTCCAACATTTAATGTTATGTGTTCCTTAGTTTGAAATCATAGGCTTTAACCCCAAGACTGAATGAGGTACACATGTCGTGCAATGTTCAGTCTCCTACTTGAACAGGGGTACAGCATTAGGCTTGCAGGGCTATCCTGCTTCTTACAACCCTGCTAGCTTACTCAGAGAGTAAGACGTTTCTAGTGCACCTTGATTTTCCCAGACTTGTTTGCCAGATTTTTCAATTAGAAATATTTGGGGTTTGTGATTTTCCTTGAATTCTGTTTGGCCAGCTTATAGCAATGGAAACAAGTACAAGTTATAGCCATGTCTATGTGCTTTTATTTTTAAGCTGAAATACTGTTTTCAAACTGTAACAATTTCAAAACTATTGAAACGCTGAAAGTTTGTGAAATTTAAACCCAATTCTGAAAACCAGTGGAGTTCAAACATTTATTTCCTATTTCTTATTTTTTCCCATTTTCAGTCATTTCTAATCAAAGAAATGCTAAAGAACATTTAAACTTGATAAATCCATGCTAATATGACAAGGGCTAAGCCTTGTCTGATCTGGCAACCAAGGAGAAGGTGGGAGGAAATCTGAGGGAACAGCCGGAGTGAGAAGTGAAACTGCAAGACCGTGAGATGGTGATCAAAGGGAACAAGGACTCCCAGGCACAGTGAGAAAAAGCATTACTGTCCTGGAGAGATGAATGAAAAAAAAATCTGTAAAAACACAGGGTCCTCTTTGTCGGGCTTTTCCCCCAGCACTGTTCGGAAGAGTTGATTTTTAACTGTTACCTTAGCTCAATTCAGATAGTTTCATTTGCTTCCTTCAGTTTGCCTTATCTCAAATAATGCCCCAAGCTCTAGAGTGCATTTCAGTGTACACTGGGTGTAAATACAACAGCACATATGACCCCATTTTAGTGACTATCCAGCCAACTGGATGCCCAAAGATTAACAAGATGATGTTTGAAAAATTTTTCATCTATGAACCTTGAAAGGCAAACACTACAGCACCATGTTATTAAGAAAAAAAAATCAACCAGACGAGATTTTATTGCTGTTGTCAACAACAGTCCCTAAAACCACCTTTCAAACCAGCAGATCATTGTGTTTTAAAGCATAATTAGTGCTGGTAATTTTTCTCCTAGTTAAAAAAAGTCCCAATGCAAACCAAAACCACTTTTCTCTACTGCAACAGTAAAAGTTTGGGGTTTTTTTTTTGAGTCATTTTCTACTGTAAGTTGGAGCATAAAAATTCTTCAGGTATGGCATAGATAGATACCAAAGCGACAAGATGGAAGCCATGTAAATTAAAAGCAAACACACACAGAGAAAAAATCCAAACACAAAAACCTTGCAAGCCCCCAACACCAAACCAGCAGAACAGTCTGCTCCTTAATTCTGAAGTGCTGATATTGACCGTTTTTTGCAGCTGCCACACCTCAGTGCTGTCCCATAGCTCTCATTCATATATTTTTTTTCTTGTGCTGAATGGAGTAGAGACACAATTTCTGAGCACATACAATATTTCAGGTGATAGAACAAGATCATGGTGGGAAAGGGGGGGAAGGAGCGCTCTTCAGTAAAGCATTAGAAGGCATTTTGGAAGACTTCATCACTTCCAGCTAAAGCTTAAATTCAAATGCCTTAAGATCTTATTTCCTTTTCTGCTCCTGATTAAGTTAGCCACCTGCTTCTATGAGTAGCAACCATGGTTTGTGTATAGTAGTTTCTATGTAGCAATAATTGTTTTTAATGTTCAAGAAGGAGCTGTACCTCTCAAGCTGGTCCAGAGATAGGCACACAGAAAAAGAATCAGTGAAGGGAAAGAAATAACTTGTACAGGGCTTCAAGATTGTCGTAGTTTAAACCCAGTCAGGTAACTTGTTCACTCACTCCCAGTGAGTGGTGCCGAGCTGACAACAATCAAGGTCCGTGTCCGTCTCCCCCCCCCCCCTTTGCACCGGGGCTCTCCCCTTCCCCGCTCCCGGAGGAACGGGGAGGAGGATCGAGAGAGTGCAACTCCTACGGGTTGAGACAAGAACAGTCCAGCAACAAATCACCACCGCTACTATCAGCTAAAACAATGATAAGGGAAAATAACAAGGGAAGAGAATACGATACCACCGGCCAAGAAAACGAGTTCCACCCGGAAGCTCCCGTCCTTCCGGGTAACTCCCAGTTACCCCCCACCCCGGGCATGACGTGCTGTGGTATGGAATACCTCCCCGGCTAGCCCGGGTCAGGCGCCCCGTCTCTGCTTCCTCACAGCTTCCCCTCCTCCCTGGCAGAGCATGAGCCTCACAGAGTCCTTGGTCAGGGTAAACATCACTTAGCAACAACCGACAACATCGGCTTCACCAACACTGTTCTCAAACTAGAAGTCAAAACACAGCACTGCACCAGTTAACACAAAGGAAAAACATGACTGCTACTGCTGAACCCAGGACAAAGATCCACTCCAATCAGGGCAGTGGTTGGTCTATTATGATGACCGTGGTCTGGGCACTCTGGAGGAGCTCAGAGAACTTGTGCAATGCTTAGGCAGCAACATACAGGAGCCAGTGAAGAAGAAAATCGATGAGGATAGTTGGAAAGCAAGGCAATATGAGGTACTGCAATGGAGAAGAAAAGATTTAAGGAGCTTTGAAGATAAGAAAAGATGGGGGTTCAGTGACAGATCCTTCCATGGGAGCAGCACAAATATTGGCTGAGAAATTATTTTAGCTCTTATGCCTGAAGAGTGGAAGTATCTGTCCTGGAGCAGAGAAAGGGCTAAACATTATTCTGTTATCAAGGTGGGACTAAGTATAGGCATGAACACTGTCCTGTGCAACAAAGATATGTCATTCAGAGATCTTCCAGTATCTACCAACTGCAGGGAAAAAAGCAATTAAAAAATGTACAGTTTCATCCTCAGCAGTGAAGAAGGAGGACAACCACGCTTGTTTAAAGCCAGTATATGTGTAACATTTAGGACTAGTGATATAATAATGTATTTTTTATTGAGAGCATCAAAATGGGGAATTTCACTGGAAAGCCTGGAGAAGGGGGAGCAGTATAGTCACTGCTTGAAATTCCTCTCTATGTGCAAAGCACAGGCAAGACCTTCACAACTGAAGTGGTACATTAGCCTCATGTTGTGCAAGACTGAACTACTCCTCTGCACCTTATAGACATATGAATAAATTATGATTAAAGCCAAAAGATATGCCTTGAATGACTTTTTGAGATTATTTTTTATTATTTAAAAAAGACACAGAGATGCATTGAAATTAGAATAAAAGGATGGTTATAACATAACTGCCTCTTCAACAGGCAGGGATTGACAAGTCACAAATATTTTCCTGTTTAGTCAGATAACTTTTTAAGAAACAAAATCAGCTCTCAAGTGCTCTGAAGCCAAGCATAACCAAACCACCCACTGACTTATGAGTAACTATAGAACTGGCTACCAAGTGCAACTCCGGTAAGGTCACTGGAAAAAACTGCTGACAAGCATGACCTTTATAACACTCAGCTAAATAATTATAGAGCAAAATTCAGCAGAAAGGACCCAGCCAGGACTTTCACACTTACCTTAGGAAATATTTGCTCAGTTTCTTTTTGGGGCTTTGTGTGCTCATGACAAGGAGGCGAACATTGGCAGCATGCCGACCCCTGTGCTCTGGCTGGGCACTGTGGGCAGAAGAAAGCAAGCAGTCAGAAGGATGCGTTTTCTAAATGGGACAGTCAACTCATGATGGTTCATTTGCCCCTTGATGTGCCATCCTAAAATGTATCTTCATGGGGGAAAAAGTAACTTAACAAGCAGGACTGGTTTAGAGATTATATTTTCCTTATTCAAGCCAATCTCCATTTCTTTGAAAGAAAATGAAGGAAACTTCTGAACAGGACCACATTCTGGGATTTTTCCATATTTCACTCTTTTTACCCTACATATGTTCTTTCTATTGGACTGTATTCTACTCTCATTTACCTTCAGTGGAAGTAGAGTAATTGTCCTAGTGTCAGTGAAATCTGTCCAGTTTTACATGGCCATAGCTGAAGTAGCCCTCCCATGATCTCTCTCAGCCAACATGAGTAGAAGTTACTGGCCAAAGGAGGTGCTGATCCCTCCTTCTATTGCTTGCACAGCTATGTAGTAAGTTGTATCAGATAACCAGCTCAAAACTAACCTGAAAAAAATTAGGGTGCAGAGAGGGGAGATGATTTTCCTTCAGGCCAGCACCAAGGTCTGATTCCCAGCACAGGTGGCCTGAATTCCAAAAGGAACACAAGCAGAGAAGAGCTGGAGGTGACACCTTCGCTTTACACAGCACACTCATATCAATCCAACATTCTAGTGAAACTACAGTCCTGGTCTAGTTGACAATTAGGGGAGGTAAACCAGGAGAAGAATAAAGAAATACTGAAGATGTTAAAAAAGGATTATTTTTTCATTTTGTTTGAGCTCTCTGTACTGGCTCACTTTGGTGTCAGACAAGTACTAGCAAGAGACCAAGGACAGGAAGGGGAGGGGAGCAGGACTTGGCAGCAATAGCTGTTGTAGCAGCTCAGCTTTAGCACCAACCCATCACTTAGAGCATGTGCAGTAAGCTGATTGTTAACAACAGCAAAACCTCAAAGCTGTTGAAATGACTTTTTTTCTTTCCTTACCAGCTAGAAAATTACAGTAGTTCTTTCTGACATCTTTCACAAAAGGTGGGTATACATGAAGGTACAAGATCTGACTCAGAGACCAAGAACTGAAACAGTAGGTCTTGGAAACAGAGATTTAAAGCCTTTTTCAGGCCACCTTACCCCTCTTTTGATAGAAGAAAGGGGAGATAGAGAGGACCCTAATAATCTCTGCACAAAGACCATTCTGATGAAACCTTAAACACAGTGTTTTTTCTCCAAGTGGTTGTTACCTTTCATGAGACCTACAGTAGAGCAATTGCACTGGTTCATTCTTTGTTCTCATAGCTTCCTCTATCTGCTTCAAATCACTGTTGATCAAGTGCCTGCTGCCTGCAGGTCTCGGGAACGGTGTACAAGAAACCCTATACTGGTGTTCCAGAAATGTCTGGATCTGGCTGTGCTGGAAGGAGTGTAAGGTAATTTGCACGTTTTCACTTCCAGGCATGAACTGCAGTTGCAAAGGTTCATGTCTGAGGCAGCAAAGGAAACCTCAGCCATGAGGTAGATTTGATTTGGATCAGTTGATGGAAAGTATCAGGCAAAAGTTTGTGTCAATACTCCAACTATTTACAGACTCTTAGATGAAAAAGCTTATTCCAATGACTTCTTGAATAATAACATGATGAATGGAGTCAGCAGCTGCAACAACGGTGTGGATGCACTGCACTTAGATTTTGTAATGGGTCCGATTTAAAATTTCCTGTGAAATTCTGCACTTTCTAGCGGGCAGATTTAGAATAACTAGACAGGCCAAGTTCAACCAGAAAAGATCCTGAGCAACATGGTCTCGATCTGAAGCTGGAGCAGAAGTTGGATTAGAAACCTCCAGAAGTCCCTTTCAACCACTACCTTTTTAATGCTTCTAAGCCCACATAGCTGTAGATTTGCTCCAGTCACTTTAACAGAGATACCCCACTTCACTTGAGTACTTTACCAAGAGCACTTACAAATGATAACAGCTGAGGTCATTACCAAACCCAAATGCCTCTCTGGACTACCTGCTTTGGCCAAACACCCAGTCACTGCCCTGTCAGTGTGACAGCTGGGTGAAGTACAACGGACTCTTGAACAGGAGACAGGGTCAAAATCAGTTAGGCCCTCTTTGCCTCAAGACGTAATAAATAAAGACAGGATTAGATGAAGAGCTGTCAGGGAGAAAACATGCTCTAAAGTCTGATTATTGCTCTTCAAACTACAGAATTATTTGTCTTTATCTGGAGAAGAGTTTGTGTGCCTCTGAGACCATCTCCTCTTTCCAGCTGGCCTAATTAAAAAAACATACAGGCAATCTTGTCTGTGTCCTGACCATACAGAGCAGCACAAGGTGTGACTGAGAGGGAAAGTAACTACAAACATCCCAGCTACGGCAGGCAGATTAAGCAGGAGGCCAGCTGAGCAAAGAGAGAAAGCAGCAGACCAGCCTCCTGGACCCAGTGCCAGAGGTTAGCTATATAATGTACTTTGCAAACAACAGAAGTCCTTGTAGTTCTCTTCCTGCTGAAACCTCTTGCAGCCTGCAAACAAGAGTTAAAGCAAAGAAGAAGAGCAATTTCCAGTAACCTCCACAAGCGTGTGCATCCCATAGTTTTTTTGTCGGTTGCACACAGCCTTAACTTCAAGACTTTCATTGCTTTAACTGGGTGTGTTCATTTTGACAAAACAGAAGGTAAGGAGAAGTCAGTCTCAGAGAGAAGACTTTCATTATAGCTCCACTCGTTTTTGTTAACGTAGTAAACGTGGGAGCATTGCTTTAATTTCAGTCGTGTGAAAAAGTAAAAAGTAAAATCTTGTCTCAGTGCATAACTATTATGTCCTTAAAAAATTGCTAAGAACTTGTAAGATAAGTAACAGTTGCATTTCCTGCATGCAGGAAACAAGGGGAAAAAGAAGACATCTGAAGAAGGAAAGGATCAAACATTCTATCTAGCTTCCTGACAAAGAGGAGGATGAGTGAGAATTGATTTTTATGCTGCTTGCTGCATGGTCCTGCAAGTCAATGCAGATCCCTACTACTTCTTGCTTCAGATCTGTTTCAGGAGAGATTTTGCACCCAGCAGGCAAAGTGTGCCAGCACTGGAGTGAGCAGTGTTATCGGGTGTCAGCTGCAGCACTCTGATACATCCTTGAGAACTAGCACATCATTAGGGATACTTTCACAATGGAATGTGTGGGTCCTAGGTCCATATGTCAGACAAAATGGAGGATGCTTTTAAGGAGAAATTAAAAAAACTAAACCAAAACCTTACTACAAATAACTTTTAGCAACTGTTCCTGTAAGTGCTGCTTTTACATTTGATTTCAGCGCTATTACTGAGGTACTCAAAAAGCATTTTGATAAAGTGACTCTGTATGCTCTTCTGGTTAAAAAAAGAAAGAAAAAACTCCAAAACCAATCAATCAAAAACCCCACCACAAGATGTAGCTGTTTGTTTGAAAAGTGGTCTGGAAAAGAAATTAACATGGAAAATTTTGTAATGCAACACGGTGTATTAGAGTTATAAAGTCTGATGCTCTCATCTTTGCACCTTGGGCAGTCATTGCCACCTCCCTGAATTAGCAGCAGTTTACACCTACTTGCACTGATATAAATGACAACACAAGAGCAAGGTGATAGGAAACAGGTCTACAACATATAGCCTCAGCCAAACAGACCTGCACTCCTTTCACAGAGCAAATACATTGCTCTATGTCTAAGTATATATTACAATAATACTAATAAGCTATGTGGAATTACATACAACATAAACAACAATTTTATACACTAGACTTATAAGAGCTTTGTTAATGACTGATATTTCTACAAACAATAAAACACCCCTGTTTGCATATTGCATTCTAAGTACATTTTAAAATAAGTCAGGATTTGTTTTTTGGCACAGCTGAAGCAGGACCTGCTCCCACTGCAGCTATCTTCATGAAGAAAACACAAGTTCACCGCAATCAAGGAGATGGCAACACAAGGCATCACGGCTCCTGAAGACCACTTCCAATTCCTACAGGCAAGTACCTGTTACAGTGACTCAGCTTCAAGAGCACACCACTGTAAGATGAAATACCAGACTCCCTGACCACACTGGCATGTGGCCTCAGCTGTTACTCTTTGTAAACTACATGGCTGAATGACCCCAGGTTTTCTAAGAAGTGATGCTGTGGTTTGCTTTTTCACCTTGAGGTTGCTGAAAAGCATGAAGACCTATGGTGCTCTCCAGCCTTCCTTACCTGTGCTGCTAAAAACAAACTGACACAGGCCTCCCATTCTCCACAGCAGTCACCCCTCCTGCGGTGGCAAGAGACTGCCAATATCATATCCGAGACTCCCCCACTCATGGAAACATTTGTGGTTAACAACTCTAGATTTTTTTCCTGATTATCAAGTTTTATTCCAACTTTTTATTTTTATTTATTTATTTTATTTATTATAACTGGAAATACTTAATTTGAAATGAATTCCTAAGGACCCCTCTTACAGAATAGCTATTCAGATTATCTCCCTGTATTAGCCCTGCCTAAAGAAGCTTATTTCTTCACATTGCCAAGCATGTGAAAGGAAGCCCGCTGTTGGAAGAGTTACCTGTCTATTCACAATACACCAGCTCCTTTGCACCAGTTGCCACATGGATTGCTTTCTATCCATAATCCACCTGCTTCATAACCAGCAAGCTAATACTGTGGGGCTCCCTTTGAGTACTTTTATTGAAGAACATTATGCTGTTAGTGAAGAATAAAAGTGAAGTTCAAACCAAGGCCAAATCCATGCCGTCTCTGATATGGGAGGCAAGGGGAAGTCTTTGCTTCAGGCAACATCATTTCACTTTAGGATGAACCACCTGAAATGTTGTAAGCAAACAAAGATTTCTCACTCCCAATCCACAAACTCCATTTTTATAGATCTATCCTATACACATGCTTCTCTTGTTCAGAAATCCTGAACTTCATCCAAATTCTTTGGCATCTGCTGCTCCACATCTAACTCTGTTTGCTGCTAAGGTTATAGG